GCAGAGGGCCAAGGAAGAGGAGAGGGTCATCTAGGTCTTGTGTGTGGTCCTCGATGCCAGTCCTCTACAGGAGGATGTGTGTCCCTGACAGTCCCCCAGGAGGATGGTGGTCCCCGGGATAGTCCCCAGGGAGGATGTGTGGTCCTGACAGTCCCCTCAGGAGGATGTGTGGTCCCCTGACAGTCCCCAGGGGAGGATGTGGGTGGTCCCTGAGGTCCCCTAGGAGGCGATGTGTGGTCCCCTGACAGTCCCCCCAGGAGGATGTGTGGTCCCCTGACAGTCCCCAGGAGGATGTGTGGGTCCCTGACAGTCACTAGAGGATGTGTGGTCCCCTGCAGTCACCAGGAGGATGTGTGGTCCCCTGACAGTCACCAGGAGGATGTGGTCCCCGACAGTCTCCAGGAGGATGTGTAGTCCCCGACAGTCCCCAGGAGGATGTGTGGTCCCCGACAGTCCCCCAGGAGGCTGTGTAGTCCCCGACAGTTCCCAGGAGGATGTGTGGTCCCCGACAGTCACCAAGAGGATGTGTGGTGTGGTCGATCCAATGGCTCACACGCGGGGTCTTGTGGTCTGGGAAACTGAGATCTGAGGAAGCAGTCAAGAGGCCTTTTTCACGTCTCAACCCTGACCCCCATTGTGAGAGAGAGAGAGAGAGAGAGAGAGAGAGAGAGAGAGAGAGAGAGAGATTCCAGCTATCAAAACATCATAACATATAAACGTGACACATACAAAAAAATCTACAAGTTTTGAATTTTATTTTAGTTAACGATACGAAATAAAGACATTACCATTTTCTATTACTCGAGGAAACTAGTGTAAATACAACGTCCACACACACACACACACGTACACACTCACGCATACACACACACACTCACACATACTCACAGGGTGGTCGGGGGCCTCATCAGCGGTAATTTGAAACACTTGGTCTTTTATGGTCCCGCTGATGGTCGCCTTCTGTGCCTTGCGTCCCCTTAAGGCTGCCCCGTGTCTGTCACCTCTCTGAATGCTTCTCCTGATTGGCTGACTGACTGGTTGACTGGCTGGTTGACTGACTGACTGACTCGTTGACTGACTGACTGACTGAGACTCTGCTGGTGAGTTAAATTTTGTACTAAAGTGTAATCAGTGTGTAGAGGGATACGATAATGAAAAGATCAATAATGCCTTGGTGTATAATTTCTTTTCCTGAATTATAGGCACTGAGAGAGGGTTTAATTATTGACTTATCTCTTTCACACACACACACACACACACACACACAGTTTGCACATTCACGGGTTGAAAATACTCACGCAGACGTGTTTAATTGAAGCTAATATTTACTGCCTAACAACTCCACCGTTACATCGAGTTGCTAGTTAGATGTTATCACGGTCATGGTAGAGTGGGTCCCTGGTCAGCCTCTCTTGTTAAGTTGGTTCTGTGGTGACGTAAATGATGATGTATTTGTTGGAATCTCTCTCTCTCTACCTACCAATGTCTCTTTCTCTTTATCTCTCTCTCTCTCTCGACCTCTCTCTCTCACACGAAAACTCTTATAAAAGACGAAGCTCCAAATTCGCTCTCAAAGACAAGGAATCGGATACTCTTAAGGGGATTAAAGCCTCCTTAAGATGGTATCACATCCCTTATACTTTATAACCTCGGTGTTCCTCCTAGTGTTAACTCCCTGACAACAAATAAACAAACAGGGCTCCGACACTCATGTAGTTTAGGCCTAATATTATAAAAGGTGGGCGGTATATCTTGTTTCACACTTCGTCTAGTTACAAAAACCTGTTTATTGGTGACGAGGACGATGACAAGGAAGAGAGACGATAAGGACGATGAAGGGGAGGGAACAGGACGACAACATACGACATAAATCAATCTCACTCAAAGGATTAGGTAACTTGTCAGATAATGTTAGATCTTAAGATGATTCAATGTAATTTAATCTTTCGTAGCAGATGTGTGTGTGTGGGGGAGAGTTTTATTTCCATTTATCAACCATGTTACGAGTTTTAAGACTTTAATTGTTGAAACGTTTATAAAATTATTAAACCTCAATGAAAAACAAAATACCAATAATAAACAAAACAAAATCACAACGATAAATGAACTATGAAACAAAATGCAAATTACGTGATACAAAAATAAATCTTTCTCACTCCTATGGCAAACCAACGAGACCTTTTAAATACCACAGGACTAATATAACTAGACTGGCAGAGATACCACCTTAATCACTTTAGAACTATTATTAATATCTATAATTTTTGTTAAGGAGTCTCTAAGAACCGAAGATTTCACCGAGCACATTATTTGGTATCACTGGGAACGACAGCTCCTCTGGCGGCTGGCTCGTACCCGGATCTAAGCAAACCCAGCCACTTGCAGTTTGGTGAGGCAATAAATTGTCAACACTCGCGTAAAAAAAAAATGCTCTGGTATTTCGTTACGTCGCTGCTCAGGGGACGAAGGATTTTTTTTTGTCGTAATAGCAGAGAAAAATAAGTAATAATTGGTAAATATAAATAAAAATTAGATTTTAAACTCACCTCATGCTTCATCTTTCAAAATGGCAACTTGTTTTTTTCCTTATTTTCACTTTTCAATACAAAAAATATTACGAAATCTGTGAAAGTCCTTCTCTTTTACAAACACATAACTCTGTCTTCTATTTTCCATTCACTAAGTTCGTAAGCGAGTTATAAACAACTTGTCACTAAGGAAAGACGACGAGGAATAGCAGAAATCACGAAGGAATACTTAACGTCCTATCCAAGGAATATCTAGAAAGGAAGTGTAACTCTTCCTTAAAATCATTATTTTTTTTTTAAATGAAATTACCATAGCAAGACCGTGGCGCCACCTGAGGGTGGAGCGACCATCTATCTAAAAAATAATTTATAAAATGAGGATAATGGGAAGTAGATGTATTTAACACATTTAATTAGTTAGTAGACAACAGAACACCTGTCTACTGTAGAAGACATCTTGTTTACATGCATTGAGTGTCTGAGAAGAAGTTGACGGAAATAATCTGGGTAAACCTTGATTAAAAACACGATGCCTTTACTGCAGTCACGTTAACTCAAAAAATTAAACCCTACCGTGTCCTAATTCACACAAGTAACCTTAAACCTTAAACTCTGATTAATAAATGAAGCCCACCTATACCTTAAACCTTAATTAAAAAAAGAATCCCAACTAATATTAAGCCTTAATTAAAAAACGAAGCCAAACTACACCTCAAAAAATTAATTAAAATTGAATCAGATTATTTTTATTCCTTAACTCTAGCATTTGTGACGCTGAATTAATCCAAACAATACGATAATTTTGAAACTATTCCACATATTATTTCTGTACCCAGGTATCTATTGCACGTATGTTTATTTAGTCTTATTACTGATGAAAGGATACTAATAATAATTCATAATCTCCCTCGAGTTAAATTCTATAAAGATAAGAGTTAGTGTATGTTGTTAGGCTCTTATATTACCCAATCGTGACCATGGAAATATCTGCGTTGACCACAAATCATTCTGGATGTTGTTCACCGCCTTCTCCTCCTCTCCCTTCTGATCACGACAACAGTTCCTAAAAGTTTGTTATTATAGTGATTCAGACTCAATCCTCAGTACAGTTCCCTTATGTAAATTAGTCTTTGTTTATAATAGGAAATAATCACACCTTTCTACTAGTCTCTATCATCTATTTTTGTGAAGATATTACTAAGTTGGTGAAATAGTTTGACCCCACAACTGTCAGAAGCCAATGGCGAATCATCATTAAGTGGACAAGCACACAAATATTGTTTTATCTTACGTTTTACAGTTCCTCTTGTCTTGTTTTAGCCAATAACAAAATACACTGACACTATTACGTGTGTTTTTCAATAAGCCTGAGATCTTACCTGTAAATTATATAAAGGTATTATGTATAGTATAGGTAATGTGTATAAAAATCAATAGCAAATGGATCTCTCAGGCTCCCAGTATATAGTTAATAATCTCCTGAATGTAACGAGTAGCAGTAACACCCCCACTCAAGACTGTCAGTGAACTGTAACTTAACTGATTTAACTGATTTAAAATTAGTTAAGAATTCTTCCTCCTCGACATAGATTACGTCAGGTTTTGTTCCGTTGTTCTGCGGTTTCGTTGTTCTGTTGTTCCGTTGTTCTGTTGTTCCGTTGTTCTGTTGTTCTGTTATTGCGTTGTTCCGTTGCTCCGTTGTTTACCATGTTCCGTACAGTAACAGGGTCATACAGTAACAGGGCCAATACCTCCATCAGGTTCACGCAGGAGAGACGAGTAGAGGTTACCAAGGCCATCTTAACTCTAGGCAATGTGTCTCTCGAGTAATATGTAAATTCTAATAAGTTAAGGCACAGAAGTTGATCTTTAAAATGGCAGATAAGTTGTTTATTTATCGTGTGCAGGAGAGGAGGTAAATATGGAGATGAAGACGTGTGATTGGGTATGGTAATCCTCTGGGGTACGGCACTCTCACGTTCGTTGTGGTGATGATGGTAGCGTTTTGTGGTGCACTCTGGTACTCTTGGCTCAAGGGAAACCTACTGTATAAGTTAGGTTGTTCGTGGTAATAGCGTCGTTGTCTTGTTCGTGATAATATTTTTTTTAACATGGGTTATTTTGATTTCAGATACATATATAATTCATAACATAATTCTGGAATCACCTGCAAATTAGCCCCCCAGGTTACTTCACCTTGAGATTATACCACCCTAATGCAACCTGGGGGCTTTGGTTAGGTTAGGTTAAGTTAGCTTTAGGGAGGCTAATCTTAACGTGAGGTAAGATAGGGGGCTAATTTTCAAGTTATCCCAATTATTTTTCAAAGGCTGATTATTATTGTCAATTATAGCTATTGTAGCAATTATTATAGGGAGGTATTATTATTATTATTATTATTATTATTATTATTATTATTATTATTATTATTATTATTATTATGGCACTCTCGGGGTAGATAGACAGGCTACAAAATATGTAATCATGTATTGTTACAGCCCAGAGTACAGGACATAACACTGAACACCTTAATGCAGTTCAGATTTGGCGACATGATAGTTTGAACATAATTGTACAGTTCTTATTTCTAGTATAATATAGTATAGTGTGAATATTGTAGAGCTTTTAATTAAAAATATATTTTAATCTGAACATGTGAACACCAGTGAACAGTTCATAACATGTGAACACTAGTGAACAATTCAGAACATGTGAACATTAGTGAAAAGTTCAGAACAAGTGAGCAGCATTGAACATTTTAGAGCATGTGAACTTCAATGAACAGTTCAGAAGATTCTAATACTGATGAAAAGTTTGATTCTGAACACTGCTGAACAGTTCACAATGACTGAACACCATCGAACCACATAAAGACGAATTATATCGATGCACACAGAAATATTAACAACATTTGAACATCTATGAACACTTCAAAGGGCGATCAGCATAGTTGCAATGGGAAATGAACTCCGATGAATAGTTCAAAGCCGTTCAAAACAGAGAGTATTGTAGAAGGAATTTATTTACACTATGTATACCAGCCTGGCGCCTCACATAGGACAGTACCCTGGGACACGAACGTCGAAGGCGTGCTCAGAGAAGACCCCTTTGATGGTGGAGAAGGCGCAGGAGGGCAGACGGACACTAACACGACCCTGTAGCCTCCCGTGGAAGTACTCGACGAAGGCGCGGTAGGAGGTGATGCGGTACTTCCTGTAGGTGGGAGGAGGAGGGTTAGTATTTTCTGAGGGAGGAGGAGGAGGGTGTCAATATTTTTTTGTAGGAAGAGAAGGAGGGGGAAGAGAAGCCTATACTTCCTGTGGTAGGGAGGAGGAGGGAAGATCAATACTTCCTGTGAGAGAAGGAAAGGAGTAGTCACTACTTCCTGTAGGAGGAGGAGGAGGAGGAGGAGGAGGAGTTGCAGTAGTCGGTGCTATCCCCTACTTCCTAACATCATTCAATTTAACACAAACTGACTTGGAAAATCGTTCTATCTGCGGTGGAGAGAATCAAGAAGGGATGAAGTAACAATAATCACCAGTTATATCATTCTACCTACTCCCTGTACCCCTCCCTCAACACCTACTCATGCAGTGGTCCATCCGTCACACCGAAGAGTCTCTTATCCCTGCTGTAGAGGGCCTGTAGAGCGTAGGGGTTAACGCAGACGGTAGCGAAGTAGGGGTGTTCAACCACGCATGACGGGGGACCACTTGTTCTGCCTCTGTGACCTTCAATAACTTTATTCCACACTTCCAGATCCTCCTGACAGCAACTACACTCGTCCTCAAATGGCATCCTCACGCAGTTATCACATCGACACCTGAGGAAGTAGCAGCAGGAGGAGGTGTCAGTTGTAGCAGTGACACAGACATAAATGGCAAGAGGAGGAGGAGGAGGTTTCAGGTGTGTTGTAGCAGTGAGTGTCAGGTGTTGATGAAGTGGCAGTAACGCCTGAGGGAGTGGCAGATGTCAGATGTGTTGCAGCAGTGACAATTGACATCTCCAGGTGTAAAGAGATGGAATTCAGGTGTGTAGGAACAAGACTCATTTAAAGACATATATTTAGAGATGGGGAGGTGGATGTCACATTAAGTTGAAGTTTAAACGTGAATGTAATATTTAATAATGAGGAAGTGGAGGTGAACCGTTCTTCCCTAACCACTAACACATCTGATGAACCAATTCTTATACTCATCCCTGTTTGGTCTATTCTTTTCATCAAACAATTAAAGACATCAACATCTTACCAATCAATCCTGCCAACTCTAGGACGGATATCTTCTCTGGTTGATGAAATGAGTGGAGCTGATTCATCCTCATCGCTTCCATTGTCTTCTTTGTCCTCCTGAACATAGACCACTTTGAGGGTCTCGTCTTCCTTCTCTTCCTCGCTGTTTTCATCATTTTCTTCCTTGCCCTCTCGGAAGAAAATCAGTTTGAAAGTGTCGAATGGCCTTTTCTTTACTTCCTTGTGAACGATGCCGTACATAGTAGAAGACATAATGACTTTTTCTCACGTCACCAAGCTTGTGTTCGTGCTGGGTGTGTGTCCACGAGAGAGAGAGAGAGAGAGAGAGAGAGAGAGGAGAGAGAGCGAGAGAGAGAGAGAGAGAGAGAGAGAGAGAGAGAGAGAGAGAGAGAGAGAGAGAGAGAGAGAGAGAGAGAGAGAGAGAGACTTATTAACCACCACTACCACCACATCGAGACACACAAATTAATAGTCACTCCTCACCACCACAACCACCACCACACTACTCCACTTGGCACACGAACCAATAGATGCCCCCTACAACCACCACTATTTCAACTACCACCACAACTGGACGCTCCCCCCACAACCACAACCACTACCACACTACTGCACTTGGCACACAGAGCAATAGACGCCCCCTACAACCACCACTTTTTCAACTATCACCAATTTTCACCACAACTGGACGCTCCCCCACAACCCACAACCACTACCACACTGCTGCCGTACACCGCCACATCTAGGGCAGCCCACGAGAGATAAATATAACCCACGGTCTCAGGTTGGGAAACGCACCCCGCCAATAAAGTGTGAAAAATTGCAGCCAACACTGTCAACGGAGGGGGTAGCAATACGGTGCTATAAATTATCTAGTGCCTACAGATACTTGGTTTTTCTACAGGTGTTTTAGAGAGATGGACAGGTGTGTAGACTCTGTATTGGTAGATTGGTTAACTGGCACCAATATAATTTCACCCATCGCTGTAAGACGTCAGAGTATCACACACACAGAGGCGTCTTCAATGGTTAAAACACTTGGACTGGTGCCTATCTCTGCATCACGTCTGTAGTACCACCACCACCACCACCACCACCACCACCACCAACGCCCTGCACCACCACCACCACCACCAACGCCCTGCACCACCACCACCACCTCCCAACACAGTGTCAGGACGTAACCTGAAGGCACTTTTAAAATCCCCTCCCAGATGACCTTCACTACTTTCACTGCTTTAACTTTCTCCAGTAATGAAAGTTGAAAATCTATCTTCACCTCGAGGGGAGAAAGCACCAAGTATTAATTTTACATAAGGAATTGGAATAACAGGGACTAAAATAAGTAAATAAGAGGAGAAATAATACAATAATAGGGTTTGTTTGATGTGATAAGGAAGACTTGGAGTTATCAGATAAGATTACCAGTGATGGACACGTTTAAAGGATCCGCTCCATCGAAATGATTTAAGATAAATTACCTGATATGTGGCAAACCTCTAATTACAGGTAAAGTTACAGGTAAAGTTACAGGTAAAGGTGAGTAATTAATCGTCCGTCACTTGAACGAATCACCTTAAGCTTAGCACCTCACCCAGTTTATTTCATCATAAGATTACATAAGTTAACGATACCTATGGAATTGGGTTAGGTTAGGTTAGGTCCATTTAGGTTATAGTAGATTAGGTTAATTTTCATGTTAAATTTGGTTAAAGTTTGGGTGGTTAAGCTGAGAGGTTAATTTTCAAGTGATTTAACTTAACTACTTAACTACAATCATAAATTACCTCTGTTTTCAAATCGTCTTAGTGTTTTGGTAATAATTCATATTTATGTAAGATAACCTCAAATGATATCGTGGTCACTGTTATCTTGACATAATGATAACCAACACATTAGTACCCCACTGTTGCCGAATGTGTTATTTCTGAATGTGTGAAGGCATATACACACACACACACACAATAGTTGCTCTCTCTCCTATTATATATCCTTCCGTTGCGTCTAATATATAATAGGATTGTAAGAGGCGAAGATCAGAGGCTTTATATAAACGATGGTGACGATATATATATATATGACAGGAAGCCATTTACTTGACGTCTTGGCACCTACGAGAGACACAGAAGGTCAATGTTACAAAGCTACCACGGACACCACCACCCCCTAGCGTTTATTTATATTTTCTAAGTAGATCGTCACAAATTCAATCTCTATCCTAATTTAATCTTAACTAACGATTATATGGTAGTTATGAATGGTTTAACCGCTCCCATTCATGGTAATCAAATAATACCATTGTCTTGCCTCGGTTTGTTTACATGTGTTGGCTTGAGAGTCGTCGGTAAATTTAAGAATTATTGTTTGTCTCAGTATACGATGCGAGTGATATATTTGTCATATGATTTATTTTTTTGTTATGAGTAGGTATGCTTTTATGGTTAATTTCAGACATCTACTATTACTTTTTTTTAAACGTGGCCTCCAGCCTCCCCCAATAGCCACACCTTCGCCACCATTTATTTACCTTAATATTAAATATCCTAATACATAAGAACTATCCTATCTGTGTTAAATTAGTTGAGCCGCAGATCCATGCGGCATTCAGTGACTGTAGCCTCATAGTCGATATCTGCAGCAGTTGTCGGAGTAGGGGCAGAAGCTCTCGTTCCCCTGAGGCAGAGCAAAGCCGACCGAAGGAGAGAGAAGGACAGTCGACATCTCATCCAGGCTGTGACATAACTTCTGGGCTGCTGCTTCTGTTCGGAGATCAGCTCCGCGAGTCTGGCGTAGAAACATCTTGCACTTGGGCCCATCCCACCAGAGGTTGTGAACACTAGAGGAGTGAAGCTGCCTTGATCAACATTTTGAATTCTCTCCCCATATGCCCTTCTCTTGTCGTTCTCGTTCCTCCTATGCAGCATCGAGAGCTAGGTTACGGTGACAAACGGCCATGGGATCAAAAATCCTGATGTCGAAGAAAGCTCGCTGTCCCCGCGTCCAGAATCCTCGAGCACTGACGTCCACACGGGCTTCGTTAGATGTGTTTGAAGTCCTGTGTTGGAAGATCTCGCCATCCAGTGGAAGGAGGGTCGGTTCTACCATGACGTCCCGGCAGATTTCCTTCAACATATTTGCTGTGAGATCCCTTACCTCGTCATGCCTCATGCATATGAAGCCCCCCTTCTTGCAAACCATGGCGTGATCGCATCATAGGAATAGCCACACACGCATTGGGAGGGCAAACCATCTACTGGCCAACCGTACCTTAGAGCAATGGCATCTGTAAATTCTTGTTTGTTAAGGCTGAAACCATTTGCCCTTATCGGTAACGTAGTTAGCCAGTTCGAGGCGCCCACCTCCTGCGCTATAGCTACTTTTTTTGTCAAATTTTCTGGAACCAGCAGCAATAGTTGCTGCAACATGTCATTTTGGCAGTGCTGCCGATCTGTTGTAATGGACCTACGGATCTTATTAACTTCGCTGGTGTCCACTTCCCCTGTTGCATTCTGGGCTATTATGTGGTCAGTGAGGGCTGCCGTGAGCTTAAGTGAATTTTGATGTTCAGAGTCAGCAATCTCCTCTGGATTAGTTAGTCCCATCCCTCCCAGTCTTGGTGGAAGTGCAAGAAGTGTTCTTTCTACTAGGGTTAAGTCGTGGTGTTTCACTAGTTTGGGAATGAACTTGACACTGATTGCTTCTTCCAAAGGGTGGAGGAGGGGTCGGATCTCAGGGATGGTACGCATCAGGTAGTTCCAACGATGCTTGACTCCATGTGTGAATGCTGCAAAGGCCGCATGTGGCTCTGTGTTAGCAATCTCCGATAGAGCATGGATTTCGCTAACCCACTCATTCACCTTTCCCCCTACGTACTGGGTCTTGAAGTCCGTAGTGCCAATTACTGCGCCTAGATGTCTTTGGCCATCCTTAGTTATTTTGACCTCACTTTCGCCGAAAACCTCCACAGCCCGATCATAATGATCTGGCTTCACGATGAGGAAGGATTTGCTGGCGTTAGGGTGGTACCCTATATGTGGACCTCGCGATGTTACCAGGTCCCACCACTTTTTTATGTCCTCCACTTTTCCTGCTCCTGTGAGGTCATCAGCATATGCCACTTGTTTGACTACTACTACTACTTTTTTTCATAACGTGGCCTCCAGCTTCCCTCAATAGCCACACCTTCACCGTTATTTTATTACCTTAAAATATTCTACAACAACTACTACTACTACTACTACTACTACTACTACTACTACTACTACTACTACTACTACTACTACTACTACTACTAGCTACAACATCGTACCCTGACTTTCTGTTGCCTTCTCTCTTCCCTCCCCTTTGTTATTCTCTCTCACTTTTCCTCTCCTCTCTCCTCTTCTGGTCTTTCATCTTTCTTCTCCCTTTGTTCCCTCGTCTCTCTTCTCCTCTTCCTTCTTTCCTCCCTCACCTCTCTTCTCCCATTCCTTCTTCCCTCTCCTCTCTCTCTCTTAGTGCCACCTCAGAGTGCCAGGGGCGAGGCACTATCATTCAACCAGACAGTTATTACAAGAGAGATGCCACAGGCGACCTAGTTCCGTCATCACTGTCAAGTTAACTACAGTAGTCTCACTATCCCTAACTACCTCAGGAGAGAGCCTCGTTAAGGGGAGCGTTAATGGGTAAAGTTAAAAAGATTAATTCGAGGGCATTTACTGCTTAATGGGTAGTTATTTAGTGGTTAATAGAAGTAGAGTTAACTGCTGTTACCTCACCATTGTTATCTACCCCAGGAGTTAAGGGGAAGTCGAAAATTATGATGAGGATTTCTAATGGTTAATGGGTAGTCATTTAATGGGTTATAGGCATAGATGGCGAGGCCCATTAGCTTGAGTTCACAAATTACATCATTATTGTCCATTATTCCTCCATTTGTTTGATTTCCATTATCTATTATCTCCCTTTATTACTTATTTCCCCCATTATCCATTGTTTCCTTCCCATTATCTATTATGACATGGATTGACTGCTATACAGATGCTGTTATTCCCATTCTGTCACTTCCTTTGACATGATATTAAGTCACACACACACACACACACACACACACACACACACACACACACAGTCATTTCTTAATATTTCACTGTTTATGACATGAAGTGACTGTCATAAACACATTGCCACTGTCAAATCTTAAATCTGTCACTGTTTATGACATGACAGTGACTCATACCCACATTACATTGTCATATTCTAAATATATTACTGTTTATGATACGAAGAGGCTGTCATAAATGTATTTGTCATTGTCATAGGACTGTCATGTCACTGTCAGAGTTGTCATGTCGGTCAGGAGGCGTGACTCAGCGCTTGTCACAGCTGGGTGAGTAACAGCGTGTGATGGAGGTGACGCTGTTTGTGAGTGACGTTGGTGTGACGTAGGTGTTTGTGACGCAGGTGTGACGTAGGTGTTTGTGGCGCTGGTGTGACGTGGGTGTTTGTGGCGCTGGTGTGACGTGGGTGTTTGTGGCGCTGGTGTGACGTGGGTGTTTGTGGCGCTGGTGTGACGCAGGTGTTTGTGACGCTGGTGTGACGCGGGTGCTTGTGGCGTTGGTGTGACGATGCTTGAGGTCATTACCGGCTAATATAAGAGAGAGAGAGAGAGAGAGAGAGAGAGAGAGAGAGAGTTAATTGACTTGAAACTTTTTCCTTCTTTATTCTCCCGAGTCTTGTACAAACCTCCCCTTCCCTTCCCTTCCCTTTCCCTTCTCTTCCCTTTCATCTCTTCCCTTTTCCTGTTTTCTTCTCATTAACTCCCTTTTTTACCTCTCCCTTCATCTCCCTCTCCCTCTCCTCCCTTGTGACGTGGGTACATATGTTTTATTTATATTGTCAACACTCAGACCTGTTGAGGGATGTAGATGAAACACTGGCATGGTGAAGGGTTGAGGGAGGGAGAGAAGGGGGTAGGGGGAGGGAGAAAGGGGGGTAGGGAAGGGGGTAGGGGGAGGGAGAAAGGGAGGGAGGGAAGGTAAAAAGGTTTATTCAAGTAGAGGGAAGTTCTCTTTGTGACACAGACAGGTCGACAACCATTGAATATTTATCAGACTCTTATTCTCTTTCTCTCTCCCTCTCTCTCATCTTCTTAAAACATTCCTCTTCTTTTCTCTTACAACAATGGGTTCTTTTCCTCTCTCTCTCTCTCTCTCTCTCTCTCTCTCTCTCTCTCTCTCTCGTATGCCAAAGAAATTCAGAGAGAAAATGTTAATCGTGTTATTATTATCCTCATTGTTGTTGTGTCATTATAGACGCCTGTATCGGAAAAGACGCGCCAATGTCACTCGGGGGTCCAAGAAGACAAAAGAGCATCGGGAAGCTCTTCATGAAGCTCACCTAATACGGTACAAGCGTGACCGAACCTTCACCCAGTGGCTCCGATACCGTCTGGCGTCGTCACTCTGGTGTCTATTGTGATCACCACTTTCCTGGATATATGACGGTGTGTGCGTGTGTGTGGATAGATAGATAGATAGATAGATAGATAGATAGATAGATAGATAGACAGATAGATATAGAAAAAAGTAGAGTATAATTCCTACATCACAAAGACCTTCGATTAACTGAATTTATATAACACACAATTATGTATCAGAATCAACAGTATACACATATATTCAGGTATACATGTGTAGGTATCTGGGTGTAGCCGTCTTGTATACTACCTGTGTGTGCGTCACGAGAGGCTCAGCAGTACCATAGGCCCATATATTTTGTCAACAAGAGTCAGAGTGTGTGTGGCACTACTCGACTGGCACTAATGGTAGGTGGAGTGCTTTCAGTGAGGTCGATGAGGAACACTAAGGAAACGTTGAGGGATACGACTCTCTCTCTCTCTCTCTCTCTCTCTCTCTCTCTCTCTTCGACCCCCTTTTCCCTTGTTCTTCTCTCCTTCTCTTTATACACTACCTCCTCTCCCTTTCTCTTCCTGCCTCCCCACTCCCCTCTTCTTCCCACCACACCCATCCTACCCCCCTTCTTCCTCCTTCCCCTTCTCCTAAGTCATCCTTCTCTTCCTTCCTCCCTCTTCCCCAACTTGCCTCCTCACCCTCCTCTTCTTTCACCATCACCCACCTCCTCCTACTCTCCCTCTCCCCCCGCTGCATATTGGCTGCATTTTATGAGGATATGCGGGTGGCTGGCAGACTTCCGGTTGCCACTTTCAATAATTCTTCAGTGGTGATTGGGTGGTGGTAGGGGGAGGGAAAAGGGGACGGAAGGGGAGCAAGGAGGTGGGAGATGGAGAAGGGGGAGAGTGAAATGAAAGCGAGGGGAAGGGGGATGGGGATGGACGAGGGAGAGGGGGAAGGGAGGAGGGAGAGGTGGCGTATTTGAGACTTCAAACTACTCAGTTCAGTTTTCTTTGGGGACCCGTCAACGCGGTTGTTGATGCTCTAATTCTGTATAAAATCAATAAATACTTCAGTGTAGAGTGTATACATACTATACCAAACATATATACATACAGAAGCTTAAATTTAAACATAATGAACACAAGACAAGAACACAGCACACTCAAACTTTGGAAATTTGCAAACGGTACAAAATTAGAGAAGTCTCCCCTTGCAAAACTTTCATTTTCTCTTATTTCAACCGAAAACGAACGTAAAAAAGTTTCATGAATGAGTTTAAACGCCGGATTTAAATGACTTTGAATGAGATTAAATGTGAGAATTAAATGACTTTGAATGAGTTTAAAGGTGTTATCGTAGTATTAAAGAGGCCAAGTGAGTATCACTTACAATAACAATAACAATAATAATAATATAGATCATTTGCGCGGGAAACGTCGTAGAAGAAAAGTGACTTTGAATTGTCTGAGTTATTTATTGATTGTAAAGATAAATTCTTGAGATTCGGTTGGTAATAATGATAATAATTATAATAATGATAATAATTATAATAATAATAATAATAATAATAATAATGTTATTGATATTATTATTATTAACTAGATATAGAATAATATTCATGTAGTTAATTCGAGATAGAGTTATATTAAAGAAATTAACCTTAGCTATATAAATTTTTATAAAAAAAATTCACCTAATGGAACTTTAGTCATTTTCTGCAAGATGAATTTTACGCTACAGATTATTAGCAATAAATGTAATAATAAATGGATTTCAGGATTATTAAGAGCCATAATAAGTGGTCTGGTAAGAATAGATTAGGATATGTTAGGTTAAGTATGTAAGGTTAAGTTAGATTGGGTTTGGTTAGGTTAAGTTAAGTTAGATTAGATTAACTTTGATAAGGTTAGATTAGAATAAGTTAGGTTTGGTCACAATAAATTAAGTTAGATTTGGTACGTTAGGTTAGATTAGACTAGGATAAGTTACGGTTTAGTTGGGTTAGGTTAGGTTCCACTCCTATCCCAAACTGTTATCATGCACATGTAAATTTTATTAGCTAGACAACATACTTAATTTATGCATACTCCTTAATTATACTTGTAAAATAACAGTACTACATGGAGGTAGACTGTTAGCCTAGTTGTAATAACTAATTTTACACACATGTATCGTCGTCGTGCAGCGGGTGCTTGGATACGACTTAGAAAATTAGGTATGTGCATGATATTCTTCTGTGTGTGTGAGAGAATTACAATGTCAATGGGATGAGCTACAAAGGTTGCCTGGACCTGGGTTAGTTTATGGTGAAGACGCGACCACCCGTTATTAAAACTTACTAGGCATTATTTTAGTAAGAGAATTTATCAACTTTCAGAAACTTATTATTGGAAAACTCTATATTCGGTGCCGTTGGGGATTATTATTTGTTGGTTACGTCGACTGTAATGGAAAATATTGAGTTATAAATCTTTACTCGTTACCTGCCCACTCACAGGACACAGGACAAACTTAGGAGCTAACCACAACCAATCACAAGCGTTTTTTCAAGTCAGAGCCAATCATATGCACCCTTTCATACCATTTCATCTATGTACCCAAGCTAACCACAACCATTCACAAGCGTTTTTTCAAGTCAGAGCCAATCATATGCACCCTTTCATACCATTTCATCTATGTACCCAAGCAAAGAACACGGAGTAGGAGCCAAGAACAGTCATTCCACCATTTTGTTCTTTTGTGCTACAGAGACAACAATACGTATTTCATCATCGAGTGAATCTAAACCTTGGCCGTATTTAGAATCGCTTTTCAAGTTTATGAAGACCATGGGGAACTCTGTTAAGTTATTCTGTATGATATGTGCTCAGAATATTACAGAGGTGACTACATACAGATACTCACCATCCAACTTGAAGAAAGACGTGACGGTGAGTACCCTTGTTTTGTCCTTGGGATGGAGTAGAGTAATTCAGGTATTTGCGTGTTGACAATGTTACAGGTTATTTCCGTCGTAAACTTTGTATGTGTCATTATAATTCAATAACTATTCCAACTGCTAACCTAACCTATTTCACCTCCTGCCAATCTAACCTAACCCACCTCCTGCCTATTCCTGCTAACCTAACCTACCTCAAGGGGTTGGTTACGTTATCGTAGCCAAGAACTACGTCATTATTCTCAAGCGGTTAAGTCATCGTACTGAAGAGGTTGTCATTATACTCAGGAAGTTATGTCATCATTCTCAAGAGGTTAAATCATCGTAATCAAGGGGTTAAGTCATCAAACTAAAAAAAAAAATTAACTCTAGTCTACAATAAGCCTATGCTCAATATGCCATTAAGTAAAATCGTCATATAAATCTACATTAGTTCAACACGTACTCAGACAGTGCAGGAATTTAACAGTAACAATAAGTCCGTTCAATCAAGCCACTAAATTATTCTCAATCGGCTGCCTTTCGCCTCCGACTCTACCTTGCCGTCCGCTAAGTGAAGGTGGTGCTGCTGGCCGTCCTGTATCAGAAGCACTACGGGAAAAAATATCGCACAGGAGAACAAATTTTTATCCATTTCGCTGCTATTTTTTTTCCACTTGTGTTTTAGTTAATGTGAGTTTGAATTAAAGATGTGTGGTCTTCTAAAGAAATATATCGTTATTTAAGATAGTAAATTTATAAGGAACATATCAGGTGTTAACGATGACGTGTAAATGACGTCACTTCTGAAGGGAATCCCCCCCAAGTAGTGTGAGTGGTGAGGTCATTAGGTCATAACACAGTCACTCCCAAGGCCGTTAACTCCACCACCGCCGTAAGTCACTCAATCCCTCGTTGGTCTGTCGGTTGTCTGTTGGGGTTTTCCAGGAAGTATTGCAGAGTCACAGGGTCTTAATATACTCGAACAACACCTGCCACTGATGGTCTAGAGTACTGTCACAACATTTGCTGGTAGATTATTAAAGCTCAGAGAGAAACTAAATCCCAGTTAAGCTCTATATAACTATTCACAATTATCTACCTGCTTAATCTACGTTTACAATGAACCAGTGTTGTATAGTGTGGCATTTTTACTGAATGAATGTTTATTTATTCCCGTAAGATCCCGGGAAACTACTGAAGGTGTGTGGCAAGTGTGTTTAACCCCGTTTTCTATCTCACCTTTGTGAACCCGTCGCTACGCCTCAAGGAGCAGATAGCCATAACCTGTGATTTCTTCTTATAAGTTAGGGACTTGCAAGAAGCGGGGCCACCACAGATGAGAGAATTGACTAAAATATCGTTTAATATTTTTCTTGGTATTCCAACCTCTGGCGGAGAACTAACGCACTATACTACGAGAACTAACGCACTATGCTACGAGAACTAACGCACTATACTACGAGAACTAACGCACTATACTACGAGAACTAACGCACTATACTACGAGAACTAACGCACTATACTACGAGAACTAACGCACTATACTACGAGAACTAACGCACTATACTACGAGAACTAACGCACTATACTACGAGAACTAACGCACTATACTACGAGAACTAACGCACTATACTACGAGAACTAACGCACTATACTACAAGAACTAACGCACTATACTACGAGAACTAACGCACTATACTACGAGAACTAACGCACTATACTACGAGAACTAACGCACTATACTACGAGAACTAACGCACTATACTACGAGAACTAACGCACTATACTACAAGAACTAACGCACTATACTACGAGAACTAACGCACTATACTACGAGAACTAACGCACTATACTACGAGAACTAACGCACTATACTACATTGTTCTACGTTGCTGGGTTTTTCGCCTAAAGAAAATAAACCACCACGGCCGCTACGCATGTTGCATATTATCAAGAATTCGATTGTTGTTGCTGGATGTACAGTCACCCAAAAAAGTCCTGTCGCGAACCATGAACCCCGAGATTCAGACTCTTGAACCCGAAGCAGTAGACACTGAAACATTATACTGTCCATAAATGCTTCGGATTCAAGAGTCTCAATCTCGGGGTTCATGGTTCGCGACAGGACTTTTTTGAGTTACTGTACATATTTTGGTTATCAATATCTGCTTGGGGTCACTGTTTATTGTGTGTTTCTTGTCTCAGATACTTCATCTCTGGGATAAATAACTATAAACAAATTCAAGTTTAATGTTCGCACTCTAGTGACACTGATTATGTTAAGACCCTGCCTAATTATCCGCCAAGTCTCTCTCTCTCTCTCTCTCTCTCTCTCTCTCATGGTCTAGGAACAAGGAAGATATTAAATCAAGAAAAAATAATTATACTGGGTGTAGTCTTGACCCAGTTTTTATGTTAGTCACTGATCATAGCAAAAAGTAGACAGGAGGTAGAATCTTGTTTCGTCGGGTGAGGTCCTGTCAACCTTTCCTGATGACTGACACACACGCACACACACACACACACACACACGCACACACACACACACGCACACTCACACACACACACACACACTCTATTCATTTGAGTCTATTTTCCTGTTAGCGTTACAAGTGAATGCAATGTCTCCGTGTAACTTAATTGTTGAAGAGGCAGAAATGAGAATTCCTTTTTCAGGTTTTATAATGCTGTACAGCCATCAGTCCTTATGCCTTATTTTTGAGCCGAAAAGTTATGTTTATTTCATGACACGAACTGAGCTGATGTCTGTCTGTCTGTCACTGTCTGTCACTGTCTGTCACTGTCTGTCACCTTCTGTCTTTCAGTCTTTGTTCAACTGATTTGGCAACGACACTTTTCTGGTCTTTCTCCTGTTTTGTTTTTATATGTTGAAAAAAAAACTATTTCTAACAATAACAACAACAGTAATGGTGGTGGTGGGGGGGGGGTGGAATGTTTAGGAATTATGTAAAGAAAAATCAAGAATTATTAAAAATACTTGTTTTTAATGATACCGTAAACATTACCTAAACATTTAAGTACATTGACGATAATAATAATAATAATTAACGATAACAAACAGGTGAGAAGAATAAAACAATTGAAAACAAGTAAGATAACTAATTATAAATAGGAAATTGAAGTTATTAAAATTATTACAATGCCCGTTTTCCATTTGTAAATCTAAGCACACACACACACGCACTCACACTCACACACACACACACACACTCACACTCACACACACACACACACACACACACACTCACTTTAGCTTCATTATACATATTAGTACTTAATGTATACATATAGCCTAGATATGTATTAGCACTAGTGTTATTCATATACATTCTATTTAATTCTCACTAACCTGCTATATAAATTCATATACATATACAGGTAAACTAATAAACACATTGGTCAAAAATTATATACGTATACATATATAATTGCATATAATTATACCAGTTGGTAATATAATCGTACATTTTATACATTTCTTCCAGTATAATTAATTGTACACTTAATATTTGAGGTTGTTTATTTTTTGGAGGTTAAATTGAATACTTGGAGGTCGTTTTATGGAGGTCGTGTACCTTAACGACCTCGTGGTGGTAGTTTACAGTACCTGGAGGGATTGTACCGTAACCTCCTAGGGTAGTAGTGTTTACATGGGGGAAAATGTATACCCCGTGTATATTAGTTGACTTGGTGTATAACCGTGGGAAAATGTATAGATTCCTTGACTGTATAGTTTACCTGGGGGATCTGTATACCCCCTTAATGAACTTGTTTACCTGGGGGGGGACCTGTACACCCGCAAATGTACCTCTGGGGAGAACTACACTCCCTATAGTTTACCTTTTGAGGGGGTAGGTGGACTGTACACCTCTATAGTTTACCTTTTGAGGGGGTGGACTGTACACCTCTATAGTTACCTTTGAGGGGGTGGAAGGTGGACTGTACACCTCTATAGTTTACCTTTTGAGGGGAGGTGGACTGTACACCTCTATAGTTCACCTTTTGAGGGGGGGTGGAAGGTGGACTGTACACCTCTATAGTTTACCTTTTGAGGGGGGGGGGTGGACTGTACACATCTATATCGTAGTTTACTTAAGGGAGCTCAGTTATCGTTAAAATAGTGTCTAATTGAAGAGAAGGCAATACTTGTGTGTGTAAAGCCTCTCAGGGGTAGTAACCAGCTCTTGAACGCAGGCCTCGAGTGTTTAGTCTGGCCTTGGACACGCCTCTGATAATTTCGTTGTCCCTGACCGTCCTACCACAGCGGTAATAATACCAGTAATACGTGCCTGACTGTGATGATACGTGCCTGACTGTAATAATACGTGCCTGACTGTGATGATACGTGCATGACTGTAATACGTGCCTGACTGTAATAATACGTGCATGACTGTGATGATACGTGCATGACTGTAATACGTGCCTGACTGTAATAATACGTGCATGACTGTAATAATACGTGCCTAACTGTAATACGTGCCTCACTAACAATACGTGCCACACTGTAACAATACGTGCCTTACTGTGATAATACGTGCATGACTGTAATAATACGTGCCTGACTGTAACATTGACTGAACTGTAATACTGTGACAATAACATGTACAATACGATGATGACGCATGACTGTAATACGTGCCTGACTGTAATAATACGTGCATGACTGTAATAATACGTGCCTGACTGTAATACGCCTCACCAATACGTGCCACACTGTAACAATACGTGCTTACTGTGATAATACGTGCATGACTGTAATAATACGTGCCTGACTGTAACATTACGAGCCTGACTGTGACAATTTGTACTTGACTGTAATAATACGTGCCTGACTGTAACAATACGTTCCTGACTGTAATAATACGTGCCTGACTGTAATAATACGTCCTGACTGTAACAATACGTGCCTGACTGTAATACGTGCCTGACTGTATCGTGCCCAGCTTCTCAGTATCAACATCTCCATGTCTTTGAATCACAAGACCTCTATTTTCCTTTAAATTTATCAGTTCACTATAAATATCCTAATCATCCATGCGGTTGGTCTCTATTCTTTGCTACGCCCTTCATCGTCCAGTGCTTCTACGGGAGAAAACTGAACTGTAGTATTCCCCCCACCCAAAAAAAAATTAACCCAGCGACGTCTGGTAAGGTCACACTCGATAACACCTTTCTCACAGTCCTGGGGAGGGGATCGAAGCCAGACCACAGTTACTTCGTTGTGTGGGTACTGTTTCTATATCTTGGTAAAATGTTTAATACGTAAAAGAAAAAGAATGTGTGTAGAGGGGAGGGGTTGAGTAGACACCAATATCCTTGTGGTATATTGGAAAGTGAGGTGGTTAGACGGGGACAAAAGGGAGATAAAAATTATATCATGTACGCTTCTTAAGGTCGTTGTTTGTGTGAATTATATCATGTAATAGTCAGTCAGACACTATTTTACCTCCCCAACACTTCAAGTCCTTGGCTATTGTTTCCTCGGCTCGTACGTGAGAGATAGATAATGCTGAAGTGTGAGGAGGGGTGGGTGGGGGTGGCAATGGAACCTACAGAGTTGTTTGTATGTTTCGTAGGTGGTCTAAAACATCCGGTACAGAGACCCGTTTGCCCCCCTTCACTGAGTAAATCTATGATGCTGAACTGGTTTTTCCTTCACTGTCATTGAGTTAATTAGATTTTGTTTGAGTTTTTGTTACCAAGATAGGCAGTGGGTGTGGCTTGGTGTTCTTGTTGACAGCGAGGAGTATAAGTAATTTAGGGGAATATTTTATCTAAGGGGGGGGGAAGTTGTGGGAGGGAGGTGCTGTGGATTACCCCTTACCTTCCCTCCCCTCCCCTTCCCTTCTACACCATAACGTACATCTGATAGTGTGTTGAGGCACTCGGGTAAATAATCCTTGAGGCAGTATAATAATAATTTTACCTTCCCGTTATAGCCTGTCCTTAATCACCCCACCGACAGCATTTCTAGGGTGTGGGTGTGTGTGTGGGTGTGGGTGGGTGGGTGTGGGTGGGTGTGTCCAGCCATAGTAATTCAAACAAGTGATGTACTTATATAAAAAAGAAGATGTTTGTGTTCTGGAGGATAATTTTCACCTTTTTACACACGTGAGAGAGACTAATTGAGGGAGTGAGTCACATAAACCGCAGCAACGAAGTTAATTTACACCTCTTGTCAAGGATGTCTGTGGTGCAGGTGTGGCAGGGGAGACACACCTTTAATTACCAATGAAAAGAGTACGAGGACCATGGTCGTAGTACTCATGGGGTTAAGGTTATCGTACTCAATGTTAAGGTCAACTTACTCAAAGGTTAACGTTATCGTACCCTAAGTTAAGGTCATCGTACTCCAGGGGTTAAGGTTATCGTACTCAAACGTCAAGATCATCGTACTCAAAGATTAAGGTCATCGTACTCAAAGGTTATCATACTCAAGGGGTTAACATCATCGTACTCAAGTGGTTAATAATCAGTCTCCATTATCCACATGTCTTTAAGCACCATCTGTTGTCCGGCTAGCAAGGGTTTTTTTATCAGTCTTAGCGAACTTTTGGCACACTTAGTAGAGGTAAGTCCCTCTACTGGACAACTGACTTCGAATATAAGTACTCAAAAAACCTACGTGAAATTTGACAAGAATAATGAACTTTTTTTGAGAGATCGGCTGTAAAATTATGGTAAAGGAATGATAAAAATAATACCAATTATTTACCAAAGACGCAAAAACAAAAGTGAAACGTAAAAAATAATAAAATAAATGAAAAATGCTTAACATACTGGTAAAAGAAATGAAAAGATTTGTAATTCAGCTTCTATATGTAGACCAAGACTTCATTGTTACTTTATATGTATTAGTTTACCCGGATTATGTAGTGATAGTATTTTGTGTACCGTCTGTCTCTCATGGTGGCAGTAGAGGGTAAACTAATGTGAAATGTTCCACCTCTGTTTTTCAATAGCTGCTAAACTACCCATTGTGGCTTTTGTTCTTGATTTATATAAGAAAATTATGAAATTTTATCCCCTTGAGTTGTTATTTTTGTTATTGCACCTGAACAGCTCAAGAGTAACTCACAATATGATTATTAGTTGGCTGAACTGTTCACTTGTCAATACAAAACAGGAACTTGATTTTTGTCGTCGTGTTTGCCTTTATTTCATGGATGTTAGATGGATGTCACACACCAACTATAGCAAGTGCCTGCTGTCCTGTGGCTGATGCTCATGAATAAATGCACTCACTATATTTTTGGTGCAGTTTGAACTTTAAATGGAACGAACTGCACTTTTTTTTGCTTGTTTTCTGAGCTTGGTGGTCACCTTTTGCGCCTCAGCTGTTTATATACCCGTCATTAATATAGCTACCGGTTACGTCATTTTTTTTCTCTCCTGATATCTTCTGTGTCATATTTTCCTCTTGTTTTGCTTTTATGTGATCACCAAGTTTGAATAAGAAGGCGAAGAAAACCGACGTGCCGATGATAAGACCAACAGAGCCACCAGTCAGAGCAGGCGTTTGAGGAACTATCGCAAAGGCACTGACCAGAGTCGCAGTGTTCAGAATGTAAACACAGGCAGCCAGGACTAACCGGTGGAAATGTGTCCCAATGAAAGCACCTAAAGGAGCGAACATCGTAGCAATGGGTAAAACGACATATAGATAATCCCAGCTTTCTTGAGGCATCCCAGTTGTGACGAAAGATCTCCATCCCCAACATACTAGTGAGTTTAAGGCCATTAGAATCACCGAGGTCGGGGTCGCTACTTTCTCGGATATTTTGAAGAAGAGTGTGAGAAGACTGAACATCCAGATATTGGACCCACAGCCAGCGAAGGCAGTAAAAATACCACCGATAAAACCAAATACAAAAATCAACAATATTTTCCACCAATTGAGATCTTGAATATTATTATACGTTCGTCTTTTGTTATTCCAATTAATCAAAAACAAAGTAAATGCAAAGGCGAAGAAAATACTAGCAAATCCCATTTTCTTCACCGAGGGAGATAATATTGGATCTATAACCTCCAGCCCGAATATTACTCCAGCAGAAGATCCCAAGAAACTGTACAGTAAGGAGTGTCTCTCGATGTGAACCTTCATGAAGAGGATAGAGAAAGAGGCAGCCAGCATCCCGTTAGCTTGTATGGTAATTGACAGATCTCGCGCCACTATAGGTGACTCGTCCATCGCTAGTGTCATTACTGGAAACGCTATAGCTCCACCACCCACACATGTCATCCCTGTGAAAAAAAAAAAACAAAGCATAAGTATAAATGTGTTTTTGTGTGTGTCGAGTGAAATATTTTTGCGGGCGATATTTTTATTGCGTTTAGGCTCGTGTATCAGGATATATTACTGGTTATTGAACTGTACAGGTAAATTTAAGCTTAACTGTCTTAACTTGAATGGCAAAACAAACTTAAAATAACACCCATGATAATTAACCAATCAGCAAAGACAACAAAACTCACCAGCAATCATCGAGCCGGGGATCATGGCAATGGCGATGAGATATTTGTCCTCAAACACATAAAACAGCTCCTTATAGCACATCATGGACCAGTACCAGAAGTGATAGAAGGCAATGGGTATCAACAGACTCCAGAATTTACGTCTGGAGGGTGACAAACCGCTAAATGGTCCAGTTGTATTGCCTGATGTATCGTAACCTGTTTCCGCCCCCGTTCCTTGCTTCAGCTGACCTGTTAAAAAAAATACGATACTTTTTTTAATATATTGGTATTTTGTTATATTAATCTAAACATCTTGGCTATTATATGTGATGGTGATTGGGGTTTTTTTTTATAGGAGACTGATTCATGGTGTTGACCTTTGGAAAAATTGGGTTTGTGTATCATGAGAGGCAATGAAGGGTAAAGTGTTCCAGATTTTGCAGATTCGATTACTCAGTCCAGGTTCCCCCTCGAATGACTCTCACTCTCCCATGGTTAGTTCTTGCGCCCACTAAACTCTCTTTAATACCTGAGTTTTTCATTAGATCGTGAAGAATTTAGACATAACTTAGTGCTTGACGAATTGCAAGATATCTCAGTGTAGGAGGAACTCATTTATGCTTGAAGGATTGAAACATAACTTAGTGCTTGAAGATGTATGACATGTCATCAGTGTTTGAAGAATAACAACTCATCACCAGCTCCTAGAATAAGTAAGTCAAATAAACTCATAGACTTGGGGTATCGCATATCTCTCTATCTCTCTCTCTCTCTCTCTCTCCTGTTTTAGTAACACTCTGGACAAGGTAATAGTCATAAACCCCTGAATGAATGACAACCTGTTCAGCAACATTTTCCAGGAATACCAACAGTACATGTGGAGAGGCTACCTTTTTCCCCTTCACATCTCAGGCTTCCCACACACACACACAGCTTAATAATATAAATATTGTCTTAGATAACGGAGGATCAATTTAATGACAATTCATTCAGAAAGTTCATTGGTGAGGGTTTTTTTATACAACGTTTGAGCTTTAGAACGTACAGAAAGTTTTATGCTCGACTTATTATCAAACGTTTATAATCGTGTCGGTATTTGATGACTGTTAAAAGTGGGTAATGCAAGAGTTTTTAAACCTATTTCAGAATACGTGGTGACTTTAGATTCTGATATTACCGGTTCTCCAGGATTTTCTTGTTCGTTGTGATGAAAATTCAGTAATTCTCAACACTTCAGGTATTTTGTGAATTCTCATCCACATGTTTACATTTTTGTTCCACAGTGGCAAGAATTTATAATACCAGACTGAGGTGAAAATTCTAGTGTGTTTCTTGTTTATATTCGATTCATTCTTGATAACATGGAATTATTATCATATTTGCTATATAGGGATTAATAAGTTCTTTTACCTGAGGCTGTAATTGTAAGGTGAATATAAAAGGTAATTTAAATGGATGAGTTTGTGTACGTAGTGTTTGTTAAGCTGGATCTCTTGGCCAAGGAGGTTCAGAAACTTATTAAACCCGAATCAGAATCGTTTTGTGTGATTTAGTGTGGTTCATTTATTGATTAAGGCAGCTGATAATTACCTGGAATAACACGAGGGGAAAAGTTATTTGTTACTGATTGGTCATAACACCTGTGAGGTCGTATTGATGAGAGGGGTCCACACACCTGTACGTCCCAATGGAGGAGTTCTACATTCACTTTGACAACCTTGAACACACACACACACACACACACACACACACACACACACACAAAGAACTGCTTCAAGAATCCCAAATTTTACCTGGGAAAGGAATTGAACGAGCAAACATCCGTAAGTTTTAATCCATTGTGGGAAATTGTCAAAGCAAAAAAAAAAAAATTACTTCGGTAACACGACTAAAAGGAATAGTTTCAAGACTGTTAACCTGAGGAATGTTGACTATTGTTCTGAGAGATACACAATTGTGATAAATATACGTTTAAACTTACATGTAAACAGTCGTGGGAAATATAGCTTGGAAATGAAGAGTACAGTATATTTCTTGCAACTAAACCGGTCTAATTGTTTATGAACTTGAGTCGTTATATAAACTTCTTTCCATATTGGTCATCACTGATCTGGTAACTTATGGAAAAGGAAATAATGTGTTTGTTACCAGTGGAGACATGTCCTGTACACTCAATCAAAAACTTTCCTTACGATTTGGTGTTGAAACAATATGACACAACGGACGAAGGATTTTGACAACCCTACCGAGACAACAGGAGTCATAGTGTTTATTGTGAAATTTATCGACCACCTGGTATTAAGTGAAATAACAATTGAAGATAAAATCGTAATTTCCTCTTATGAAACTGTGAAGTAAATGCCTTAAAACCCCACAGGTAAACAAAGACTAAAGCTATTTTTAAACTTCATAGGATAAGGATTTTTCTCACTTCAATTCAGTCATCTAACTTTAACCAGAATAAAATACCTAAGTGCGACATTGTCCTCTAGGGGTTAAGGATGACTTGACCATTATATCCAGTGACTCCCGGCACGTTCCATAACACGTTAGGGTGAAGGTACAAGGTTTCAGCGTCTGGCCTTGACTGTTTTCAGCTTGTATTACTCAGCTTTAACTTGGGAACAAAACGGAACACCTCACTGAATCCTAGCTGATACACCCCATTTGGTAAGATGTTATGAGAGAAAGTGGGAACTGGTGTGTGAGGGAGGAATACTAAGAATGATGTCCTTATGGGATTGCATTCATTAACAGGAGGGGAATCGGATAGCATGTGGAATCTCCTTAAACTCGTGGCAGTCATGGGAATCTCAAACAGCTGCTGGCTTAAACACTACTCAAGATCCCTGCTATAGTACTACGGGTCTCTGTGCTGAATAAAATCGTCTGGCGTTTGGCAAATAAAATATAAGTGACGTCCAGTAATGAAGAGGTTAATACAGTCACAGGATGAATCTAGGAACACAGAAACAGGGTGTATACAGCGTTCGTCTTCTGTTCTAGGGGTTTCTTATTCAACCCCCATACGTATTCCTAATCCACCCAGCTGTTGGCGGTGAGTACAGGGGCAATACGCTGCCTCATTGTGTACCAGAGGCATATATTGTGCAGTTTATTGTGATCACGCTGTCCCTACCGAGCAGTCATGCCTTCGGGACCTAATTAAGATGAATGTAAGGTGTTTGTTAGGGGAGTCCGGTTCTTGGTGTCTCTGTTTTAAGTTTGTTCTCTGTTTTAAGTTTGTTCTGTGTTTTAAGTCTGTTCTCTCTGTTTTAAGTTTGTTCTGTGTTTTAAGTCTGTTCTCTGTGTTTTAAGTGTTCGAGCGACGTTAAGTTGTTCTTGTGGTCTTGTCTACGAACGATTATCAGATAAGCAGGATGACCTTGTATGATTGCCACTGTGTCGGCTTTAAGACCCCAAGCAAAAGTTTAAGTTCACACTTCGAGTTATATATAAACTAGCCCTACAACTGTTGATTTCATTCCCAACACCATGAAGAATGCAGTGTGAGGGCAACGATCTTCAAACAGGGCAATGGGAACTCGAACACTGTATACGGGTTTGGAGCAAGAAACCGGTAGAGTAATGCATTGTGGACAGGAGCCGAGTTTTTTTATGTTCTTGGCCACACGAGAAGCTGTGAATGAATGAATACTTATAGAAAAAAAAACCAGTACTGTAAATTAAGGACAGGTTTATTATGGATGTACACACACACACACACACACACACAGGTTTGCCATAGCTGTACACACTCAGGCTTATTACAGACGTACGCACACACACCACATGTAGTTACACCCCCTTCATCACACAGAGAGAGAATAACGTTCCATTCATTATGTATTACAACCTAAAGCTTCATTACACAATACAGTTTATAAGAATTAACAAACTAAACCACTATATGACTTGTTTGGGGGAAGGAGGGGGGAGGGGGGAATTACTGCAATGTTTATTTTAATGACTCGTAACAACCCTCTTATCGATTTTAATTCTCTTGAATCGTTGTGTCTGGCATTATTCGCTTGATTACCCCCCCCCCCTCCCATCCCCTCCCCCGCCAGTACACCCCAGCTAAAAGGGACGGCCTGGTATATAAGTCAAAGTCACGCTGAAGGGGCAAGCTATTCCGGTTTTGAGGTGAGTGGTCATTAAATAAGCAGACTCGCCAGTATATCGACAGTATGCTATATAGAGTCTTATTTCTTCCCAACACTAAAATATATATAATATTTTTTTTAAGATAGAAAATAATCATAAAAATTATATACCAAATTATATGATATTAAGAAATTGTTAAATTATTTAGAGACAAAAATTTATGGTTAAAGGCTTGAAAAAAAAATACTCCTCACTTCATATATTTCTGATTTAAAAATAATTCGTGGTTTTTAATTATTATTTTGATAATTACTTTGTTTATTAGCTTCTTTATATAAAAATACTAATGGATAATAATTACAATAATAAACCAGGATTTCAGAGATGGTTTAAATATATATGTATTTTTTTTTTGTATAGTTGGCGGGACATCTACCAGCTTACCTTGAGTACAGTAAAGGTGTTGCTGTTTAATCCACTTTCTAATAAAATTAATTTATATTTTGGCCACTCTTGGGATTTCCCTTAAGGATGATATTTCACTTTTACGTTTAATGTGTGGGAAGAAATGACCCAAATAGGATAAACACAGAGATATAAACAGTCACTCAAAAAAATATCTATATGGTGATCGATGAATTCCTGAATGAACACTATGACTCCTGTTGTCTCGGTAGGGTTGTCAAAATCCTTCATCCGCTGTGTCATATTGTCTCAACACAATTTTGTAAAGGTATTTTTTTTTGAGTGTACAAATGAATAATGTGAGTCTGCCGTTTGTGTGAATAATCTGTATAAAGTCGCTGAAAAGATTAACACACCGTGGCCTTATCAAACGCTAGAGACTTAATAAATATTACTGACATGAGATATTCAAACACGACCTTGAGAGTAAATGTGAAGATAGTGTTGTCAGCTTAATCAAATATTAAACGTGAATAAGGTTTAGTCATCAGCTGTGTTTACATAGACCAAGAAGGTGGGGGGCGTGGTAGATATTCCACCTCCATGATTTATTTAACCTTTTGTTTCACTGATGTTATGAAATTTATTATACTGTAAGTTGATGGTTTAGATTAATTTATAACTAAGAACAAATTAAGAATGTTATGGTTGTTGCAATGATTCTTACTCAACCGGAAGAAATTTGGTCTAAGAATAATAATTTGATTTTGATTAAACAATAAGGTATCATAAGATAGTTTAATATAATATAATACAAGAAGTTAAAAATAGGTAGGAATGAAATCTTATCTTTTATGTTCTTCGTAATGATCAGATTTTATCCCTACAGATTTTTAAGTTCCTATAAGAAACAGAAGCCATGTTTACTCACCTTCCCAAAAATACTTCTTACACCAGAAATAAAATCCGTGACTACACCATTTCCTCCAAAATCGTCCGTCTTTCCCTGGAGTTTCCCTGTTAGCGGCAATTTCCACGTCTTGCATTGTTATTTCCTTGATTAATTCCAGGCAGTTAAGACCACCAGTTTTGCCTTGGTAATTCTTGACGGAGGGAGTGTGTGTGTGTTTTCGTCTGTATCTCTTCTTTGTATTGTTAGTTCTTCAATATCTAAGTGAAAACAAAAGAATAACATTTTAGTATTAATTTCATTTGTATATGATAGTTTATTTTTTATAATAATTAAACTAAAACCAAGTAATTTAAAAATGTGTTATCAGAAACTGTCGTCTTATGATATGAATCTTCAGTATTCTTCATTTTTCTTCACCACAAACTCGTGTAGAATGTAATACACTTATGACGTCAACAACACATTTACACTTTGACTTAAAAAACGCTTCTATAAACCTACGCTTAAAACTTCACCTTAACAAGATTATATTAACTAGTAAGGAAATATTGTACAATTTAAATAGATTATTGAACATAATTTTATCCTATCTAGTGTTAAGTAAAAGTATCTAGTTAATTATTTTCTGTAATTTCTGTAAGCAAATTAGTTAAAGTACAACCAATAAATACGTTCATACATTATAAGAAGAAAGTTAACTCAACATTATTATTTTTTTTTCGCATCGTGGACTTTGCAGACAGCACGGAATGACCTACACAGCCTTTACGCCGAGAGAGGCAGTAATAGACTTGCTATGTTCAAAACGGGTTTCCCTTTGTCTAACTTTTCAATGCCAATGACCCCCAACACACACACTTCCTGCTCATCTTAACTCCTAATGGTTGCTGACTCCTTTAGTATGTGTGTTGCGGGTGACGGACACGTAAGCTATGCATTTCATATTTTTTTCTCAAACTAATAATAATAATAGCAATAATAATAACAATAATAATAATAATGACAATAATAATAATAATGACAATAATAATAATAAAATACTCAATATCCACAGCAAGTAACTTTCCATTCGTTCCCATCCATAATTCAATCTTGTCACAGCGAATGCATTACCCATACAGCCGCCTGTAACCCACACACCCCTTCCCCTGGTGGCTATCGCGTAACAGATATTCTACTGTCCAGATGCGGTATAATGTGGATAATATGGGCTCACCGATAGAACGCAGAGGGTCAGCGTAGATGGTGTTAAATCTGAGTGGGGCCGTGTAACCAGTGGGGTTCCCCAGGGGTCAGTACTAGGCCCACTCTTGTTCATAATCTACATAAACGATCTAGATACTGGGATCAGCAGTGACATAAGCAAGTTTGCGGATGACACCAAAATAGGGCGGCAAATTAATTCAGGGCAGGATGCAAATGCATTACAGGAGGATCTAAATAAACTGCAGGGGTGGTCTGAAAAATGGCAAATGAAATTCAACACCAGCAAGTGCAACGTACTTAATATTGGAAGAACAAATACTTATAATGTATACAGCCTTAACAACATCAACCTAGAGAAGTCGACTTGTGAGAGAGACCTAGGGGTACTTGTAAGCCCGGACCTACGGCCTAGAAAACAATGCGTTAATGTTCGAAATAAAGCAAACAGAGTATTGGGTTTTATATCTGGAAGTGTAAGTAACAAGAGTGCAGAGGTCTTATTGCAACTATATCTTGCGCTAGTCAGGCCGCACCTCGATCATAAGAACATAAGAAAATAAGGAGTCTGCAATAGGCCGGTTGGCCTGTGCATGGCAGCTCCTGTCGAGAGTTACTACCACTCACTCTATCATCCATGAATCTATCTAGCCTCCTTTTAAAACTTTCCAGCGTTCCAGCACTCACTACAAAGTTGTTAAGCTTGTTCCACTCGTCCACCACCCTATTTATGAACCAGTTCCTTCCTATCTCCCTCCTAAACCTAAACTTATCCAACTTAAATCCGTTGCTACGAGTCCTATCCTGCTCGGATATTATAAGAACTTTATCTATATCCCCTTTATTGATCCTTTCACCCACTTAAATACTTCTATCATATCTCCCCGCACTCTTCGTCTTTCTAGGGAATGCAAGTTTAGTTTCTTTAACCTAACATAAATACTGAATCGATGTCAACTTGTTTTACGATTTGACTTTTTCTTTTGTTCTGTATATTCAAATAAATCTCTCGGGGTCACTAAATAAGACTCTTACTCTCTTATAGGACAAATAAATACATGTTCTTTAATATACTACGACATCAAGAGCTCATGTGTGTCAGGTGAATTTTCTCTCTCAGTAACAAGCATTTTGATTTACATTCTGTCCTGCCGTGGCATTGTAGCCTCGTGTATGTTCAACTGGTAATTCAGCGTTCACAACCATTCATCAGCCTCGGTGTAGTGTCATTTGCCTGGTGTCTAGTAAGCTCTTGTTCTTGTAAATTTATTGTAATCGTAAGTTTTTTTTTTAAATGTGACTTTTTGTGTTATTTGAAAGATACGTGTCACTCGCTGCCCTTACAGTGAGTTACCAAGCCTAGCAACACACACACAAACACTCACCACTCTAATATTTCTCCCTAAATCTAAACAAACACAACAACAACACAAAAGTAAAACAACAAAAAACAAATACAGCCTTCGATCATCTCACTCCAACATGGAAAACAAAAAATAATTATTCCATTTTTTATATCAAGTTTTTCAAGTTTTTCTGATCTGTAATAAGGAATCAGTGAGACCTCTATTTAACGGACTCTATAGGAGAATGTAGGCTTTACTGTATATATATTTTCTCATTAATATTTCCAAGTTAGGTTATATACGAACAAGCGGACATTATGTTGTCATTAACCCTCCATTTATATCAAAACTTCCTTTATCAAAAAATATTAATCCAAGGGCATTTTTTTTCGTGAACCATAAATAATGATTATATTTCAAAACGTACAATAAACAGGCACTTAAAAACAGTAATAACCAAGTTGAATTGACCTGACCTGACCTTAAATCCCGCGTGATGGAAGGAATACCTGACCGTCTTGATTCGCTCATGGTGAAAATAAATTGTTTTTTTCCAAATTATATATATTTATTGTCCCATTACTTCTGTTTTTTTTTTCGTTTCCAGATTTTCGTAAGGAAATGGAGAAAAATATATTTACATGATAATCAACTTATCATACTAACTTCAAGGTGTTATTATGCTAACTTCAACGTGTTATCATACTAACTTCAACGTGTTATCATACTAACTTCAACGTGCATTCATACTAGTTTCACGAAGTTATCACAAGTTATTCTTAAACTCGTTGCAAAGTTTTCATTGTCCAGAATTGTGCTTGAGAATGTATATTGCAACTGTAGGAGCTCGGCCTTGTACTAAGACTCCCTGCAGGCATAGGTGCGGCTGATGGTGCGTGGGGCTTTGTATTGGGGACGACACAGGCAGACACACACACACACACACACACACACACACACACACACACACACACAAACACACACACACACACACAAACAGTTAAAATACGTTGGATATTATCTGAAGTGAATGATAAATTAAATTGCGTTAATTGTAGTGTAAAAAAATACCACCGTTACTTAATCATTGTTGTTTAACTTTGCTACTAAACTCATTAAAAATAAACATTGTTATTTGAAGTGTTATTTTTTATTATTTTCTGGATTTTCAATTTTTTATTAATAAGAGTTGAGGTTTTCCTATTATAAACCAGTTTTTCTTATATATTCTTCACTACAGGGACGACACTTTTAATATTTACCTAACCTAACGTCAAATGATATTATTCAGCACAGAACCAACCTTGTACGCAAATGGTTAGGAAATAAAATGCGTAGGAAGACATATGTTAAGTGTGGCTGTCAAATAAATTACCCGCGGTGTCTGCTAAACCCAAGACTGATATAATGTTTGAAGCAGAAAAAATTAGACTGAAATAGAACTGAATAATATTGTCTTAATAAAAAAAATCATTGGTTTAACCCCTTTGTGGACGATGGTTTAACCCTTTGTGGACGATGGTTTAACCCTTTGTGGGCGATGGTTTAACCCTTTGTGGGCGATGGTTTAACCCTTTGTGGGCGATGGTTTAACCCTTTGTGGGCGATGGTTTAACCCTTTGAATACGATGGCTTAATTCTTTGAGGACATTAGTTTAACCCTTTGAGGACATTAGGTTAACCCTTTGAGGACATTAGTTTAACCCTTTGAGGACATTAGTTTAACCCTTTGAGGACATTAGTTTAACCCTTTGAGGACATTAGTTTAACCCTTTGAGGACATTAGGTTAACCCTTTGAGGACATTAGTTTAACCCTTTGAGGACATTAGGTTAACCCTTTGAGGACGATGGCTTAACCCTCCCTTATTCAAAGGGTTAAAGATAATTACGTAGAAGTCACATTTCACTACAGTCGATAGTGATGACTCATCACTATCGAACAGGTTTTTTGATAGGTTAGGCTTCTCAGATTCTCCCCCTACCCCTTCCCTCCCTCTCTTCTCCTACTACCCCTTCCCTCCCTCCCTTCTCCTCCTACTACCCCTTCCCTCTCTTCCTTCTCCTCCTACTACCCCCTCCCTCACTTCCCCTCCTACTACCCCTTCCTTCCTTTCCTTTCCCACCTTCAGGAGTACGAACCGAACCTCTTGTGGCCAGGAACCTGATTATGACCTCACACTTGAAACTCCTCCCTCGGAGTGAACAAACAATCGCCTGTCTTGGGAGATTATACTGGTCTTAGGTGGGGTGTTAGCTATTGTGGGAAGACACGACATAGGCTAAATTGGGATCCTTACTGAACCACGAAGGAATCTCCCTCTTGCGACAGAAATTACAGCTAAAATACATCGAATACAGGAAAAAAAATGTATACATGTATTTATCCCTATTCTCTGCCAGCCTGTATTAATTAAAAAAAAAACTTGGAATCCTTAAGAAAAATTACAAAAGTCGTAATAGTAAGCAATGAAGGAAATACTATTGTTGGAGTTGTGTTTTCAAGGAAATCCTCTGTTTTCCGTTTAGTCGTGAAAGTCCGGAGTTAATTAGGGACAAAGACGTTAATCCCAGTGTGTCCAGTGACGCAGGTGACCTTAGTAAGTGGTAGGTTACCTGACACACGGCGTAGGTAAGTGGTAGGCTTCCTGACACACGGGGTAGGTAAGTGGTAGGCTACCTGGTACACTGGGTAGGTAAGTAGTAGGCTACCTGACACGCGGGGTAAGTAAGTGGTAGGCTACCTGACACACGGGGTAGGCAAGTAGTAGGGTACCTGACACGCGAGGTAAGTAAGTGGTAGGCTACCTGACACACGGGGTAGGCAAGTAGTAGGCTATCTGACACGCGGGGTAAGTGGAAGGCTACCTGACACACGGGGTAGGCAAGTAGTAGGCTACCTAACACACGAGGTAGGCAGTATATTCTACGACTTATTAGGGGAATCCCGGTTTCGTGAGCAGGACGGGTACCAAGACTTACCCGGGGTCTTCCCGTATGCAACACAGTCGCTGGTTGTTGACGATTCACTCAAAGAATTCAAAAAAATTTCCATGAGTTTCCTCACCTATTGTAACCGTTTTATTTACTGTTCTTTTCTGGAAAATTACGGTAGATAAGTAAGGTTAGGTACGTTTTGGTTGGGTATTGTAGGTACAGTAGGTTAGATTAGGTTAGGTATTGTAGGTAAGTAAGGTTAGGTATTGTAGGTAAGTAAGGTTAGATATTGTAAGCAGGTTTTAGATTAGGCTAGGTTAGGTTAGGTTAGGTATTGTTAAGGGAATGGTTGTTTGAGTTAGAATACTGTACAGGTAACCTCATCAGTGTGAATGTTAATCTTTCACCCGTAGAGACAGACAGACAGACAGACAGATGAATTCAATGTTCCATCAAGTCTCAGGTCTGAGCCTTTGAAGAACTAAAATGCCAACTCAGGTTCACGCCTCAGTTAGTTCGTCTACAAAGCCTTCGTTAGGTCTTATACACTTGGTAATCTCTTGAGCGACACGCCTTGAAGCAACTCTCGTGAACACCAAGAATGAGAGCTTTAGAAATCTGGCCAAGGATCCTACTGACGGCAAGCATTTGATGGGTTTGTTTGGATGTTCTTGGCCTAATTAGCTTAATGTTTACTATTGTTATTTACCTCCACTGTCCAGGTATACATTGTGTACCTGTGTGATTTATGTATGCTGTATAACCTGCCTTGTCTATATACCGTACCTGTCACATCAATGTCTATGGAGATTTTACTGAATAAATGTAATTATTATTAGTAGTAGTATAGAAGTGTCTTTGTACATTACCTTCTTGTAGTTACGAAGATACAGTGGAACTACTTGGTAAATATCCAAAATCTTTACTTCTTAACACAAGAGAAGTTATATTAGTGGCTTACTCCTGGAGCAGATGTTACCTGTAGGTATGGTTGTCACTATATGATACACGCGTACTAGGGTGCAGGCTCTTATATTAGGTACAATTCCGGCTGGATTAGAAATCACCGCCCAGAATCACGGGGACCAATGAGAGGCGTGGCGGCGAGTAGCCCAGCCAATCTGAGCGTTGAAGAGACTGAAAATGTCCTGCCAGGGAGAGATCCCGTGATTGTCGCATTGCTATTGGCTGGCTGTATTTCACGCTGGTAAGGTACTGAGGGCAGGGGTGAACCGTAGAATTAAGGTTTTGCGTCAGTGAGGGTAATGCTTTGAACTTCAAGATATCTAAGAAATTTAAACAAGCGTAACAGAATAACTAAATAATTATACACGTGGTAACATTTAGGAATATTGATCTTGTGTAGGGCACCCTCTGTCCATAGGAACGACAAATAATTACCGATTTAAAATTATGTACAGGTATGGCGATTATACCAACACGCGTATAATTATATTTACCTACGCGTTTATTATGTTCCCGCCTATAACACTACACTAGACAGATAGATACATAGATCAGCATGTATATAAACAGGACAGGTATACAGTTCAGCATGTATATAGACAGGACAGGTATACAGTTCAGCATGATACCCGAGGCATTAAACATGATACCTGAGGCACCGACTCTATTCAGAGATAGTGAAGAAAACAAATTAAGTGAGATAGTAGTGACTAGTAACGATGTTAGTAAGCAAATAGACAAACTAAAGCCTAATAAGTCACCTGGTCCCGATGAGATATTTGCCAGAGTATTAAAGGAATGTAAGGAAGAGCTTAGTATGCCCTTAGCAAAGTTGTTTAACATGTCCTTAAAAACAGGTGTAGTACCAGAATCCTGGAGGATAGCGAATGTAATACCGATTTTCAAGAAGGGGGATAGATCACTATCCTCTAACTACCGCCCAATCAGTCTAACATCAATAGTAGGCAAATTACTGGAAGCAATCATTTCAAACTCTATTCGAAATCACCTGGAGAAGCACCGATTGATCAATGATTCCCAGCATGGCTTCACAAGCGGACGTTCTTGCCTAACTAATCTATTAACATTCTTTTCATCAGTTTTCGAATCGGTGGACGAGGGCACAATTATGATGTGGTATATCTCGACTTTAGCAAAGCCTTCGACAGAGTCCCCCACGAAAGACTAATTAGAAAGGTAGAAGCTCATGGCATCAAAGGTGACATCCTTAAATGGATTAGGGCGTGGTTACAGGACAGGAAACAGCGAGTGAGCATTAACGGCACTAAGTCCCATTGGAGCAACGTCACAAGTGGAGTTCCCCAAGGCTCAGTACTTGGACCATTATTATTTATTATATACATAAACGACATAGATATCGGCATAGACAGCAACATAAGTAAATTTGCTGATGACACTAAAATAGGACGTGTTATTAAATCTGACGAGGACTCGGCAAAACTACAGGAAGATCTAAACAAATTTTTCGAATGGTCTGAAAAATGGCAGATGAAATTCAACGTGGACAAATGTAAAGTACTCAGTATAGGAGATGTAAACAGGGAAACCAGATACCAGATGAACAACGATGCCATAGAGAAATCCGACTGCGAGAGAGATTTAGGAGTAATGATAAGTAGGAACCTTAAGCCAAGTAAACAATGTGTTTTTGCTCGTAACAAGGCTAATAAAGTACTTGGGTTCATACAAAGGAGTGTTAGTTACAAGACTAGCGAGGTCGTCCTAAAACTGTATCTTGCTCTTGTGAGACCACACCTGGATTACGCAGTTCAGTTCTGGTCACCGTATTACAGAATGGATATAGAATCCTTGGAAAGAATTCAGAGGAGAATGACAAGACTAATCCCGGGCATTAGGAACCTTGAGTATAGAGACAGGTTAAAGCATCTTAATTTGCACTCCCTTGAGAGACGTAGAGCGAGGGGCGACCTGATAGAGGCGTATAAGTGGAAGGCAGGGCTAAACAAAGGGGACATTACAAAGGTACTCAAACTATCCAACCAGGAGCGAACTCGTAACAATGGTTTTAAATTAGACAAATTTATATTTAGGCGGGAAACAGGTAAACACTGGTTTGGAAACAAAGTAGTGGATGAATGGAACAAGTTACCAAATATCATCATTAACTCGAATACGCTGAATAGCTTCAAACATAGGTTGGATGCTTATATGAGCAATAGGGGTTGGGTGTAAACGGGACTGCCCAGTATGGACCAATAGGCCCGCTGCAGTTTCCTCCATTCTTATGTTCTTGTGTTCTTATGTATATAGACAGTACAGGTATACAGTTCAGAATGTATAGAGATAATTTATTCTCATTTGGGTATAGGACAATGATAGCAGAGTGAGAAGTGAAGAAAATAGAGGAAGATTAGCAGAGAGAGAGAGCGACCGACCCCCATTCACGTTCTAGGAAATAAAAAATAAAAAAAACATACCACAAAGACAAAGGTACAAGACCCGGAAATTCTTGTGAAATTTTCCTGTTGTGGATTTGTTCCTTTTTAACTTTCATAGACCAAGTAACCTGTTTCCCCCCTTCACACCTAGGAGACGGAAGCAGAATTTTATGATATATTAATTAAATTTTTGTTTATTTTACATATAAGTATTATTAAAAAAAGTATATAACCAAACGCAAATTTCATTTATCACCTGCATACTACCAACCTAGCGTGCGTTCAATGCTACGTCTGGAGGGAAACTAAAGGGAAATGTTAACATCCGCTTAGTTTTATAACCGATCCATTCCACCGACAGCCATCACCCCTCGTCCTTCACCCGAAAAAGCGACCCTCTCCTCAGAATTTAGACATGATTTATGCTAAGGAAATTCTTTGTTACAGTGAGTCTGGCTTATCCTAGCAACACTGATATCTCCTCCAACACTGGTAATAGCACCTCCAACAGTAGTAATAACACCTCCAACACCAGTAATAACACCTTCAACACCAGTAATAACACCTCCAACACCAGTAATAACACCTCCAACACCAGTAATAACACCTCCAACAATCGTAATAACACCTCCAACACCAGTAATAACACCTCCAACACCAGTAATAACACCCCCAACACCAGTAATAACACCTCCAACAATCGTAATAACACCTCCAACACCAGTAATAACACCTCCAACACCAGTAATAACACCTCCAACACCAGTAATAACACCTCCAACACCAGTAATAACACCTCCAACAGTAGTAATGAGGGAGAGGTTAAAAAACATCCTTATTATATCTCAGAGTCGATCCTCAACACACGCTTATCCCATGACAACTTAAGAGGGGATTCCCGGTCTTCACGCATCCCCTGGGCAAACGCAGGTGGGTTGAAAGTGCGGCAAACCCATCTAAAAAGTCACCTACTTCATCATATCCCACCTGCTGCTATAATTGGTAACACGGCCAGGTGTATACGGTAGAGGTACAACACAGATTCAAGGGGGATTGGTTCTGAGAAATGGTTGTCATTCAAACTATCTGTACTTTGAGGTGATCGATGAGTTTTAGAATGATTACTACGACTCAAGTTGTCTGGATTGGGTTGTCAGAATCTTTCACCCGTTTTATTGTTTTAAATTAATTTTGTATTGGTTCTTTTTTGACTGTGGGGTATATCTGTTGTGGTAAAGCTTTGGAGAGTGTGTGGTTGTTTGTGTGGTCATTATGCATTGGGGAGTAATTCTTATGTTGTTTTTTTTTCTGAATCGAGTCCATAATGAGGCGTTGTGTTTGAGTTAGACTGACAGGTATGTGTGGCATGACCTTCCGAGAAAGAGTCGCCATGTACTGTTAAATTTAGATAATGACATACTCTACCAGCTGTGTAAATTACGGTAATTTAAACCAAAGCTAGATTTTACACATGTATATTTCAATAACAGAGCTCAGTTATATTTGGTTCATGGTCATACACCTCGTTATGATAATTATAATATAACACGCAATGATTCGTTTTCACCTTTTACTTGACAGGTTAATTCGTGGCTTCAATAAGTCTCCTTCATTCTAGACGATCAAGTAAATATATGTCCTGTTCCCGTTGTTCCTCAGGTCATCATCCTGTTCCCGTTGTTCCTCTGGTCATCATCATGTTCCCGTTGTTCCTCTGGTCATCATCCTGTTCCCGTTGTTCCTCTGGTCATCATCCTGTTCCCGTTGTTCCTCTGGTCATCATCCTGTTCCCGTTGTTCCTCTGGTCATCATCCTGTTCCCGTTGTTCCTCTGGTCATCAATATTCTCCTTACACTATCGAGCCAGATCTTACTTGGAGATCTAACAGGCTTCCGTCCTCGTGGAGTCAGTTCAACCCTTCTCTCGTACACATCACACACCCATACCATCTTAAACCCTACAGCTTGTCACGGTAACAGAATACGTTTTTAAACACCTAGATCGAAATACCAATCTGTCTCACTTAATCTTGTTTATACTGGACAGATTATTAATTACTGTTATCAATTACCTCATTCAACACCTGTTTGGCCTTATTTAGTGGCAGTTCTAAGGCTGTAGAAAGTTGAGATTTACCTTGATGAGCAGAGAGCAACTTTCATCTTTATTTTAACTTCTTGTTTATTCAACTTGTATCGCATACCCTTTAGTTAGGTTAGGGTTAGGTTAGGCTACGTTAGTTTTAGGTTAGGTTAGGTTATGAGATAGGGAGAATTAGTTTGAATATAAAGATAATATAAAGTGTTTTTTTATTTAGCGTTAAAGCCTCCTATAAATAATATCTCACCTAACCTAACCAATAAACTATAGTAGTCGTCATGGAAAGTTTTATGTTAAGCTTTCATGAGTTTCTAAATATCTCGCTGCTACTTTACATGCATGGTCAGGGTTACAGAGGAAACCCCCTTGTATATTGTCAGGGTTACAGAGGAAACCCCTTGTATATTGTCAGGGTTACAGAGGAAACCCCCTTGTGTATTGTCAGGGTTACAGAGGAAACCCCCTTGTGTAGTGTCAGGGTTACAGAGGAAACCCCTTGT